GTAAACAAACCCATTTGTAATCTGTAAAACCAATTTACTGCAGGAGAAAAAAAATAAACATGTTATTTGCCGGCTTAGGGTCGGTCCGTATAGTGAAAACCTGTGACCTCGGCCTTCAAAATGCTGCCCGAGGCCGCAGGCCGAGGGCAGCATTTTCAAGACCTCGGTCACAGTTTTTCACCATACGGACTTCCCAGCCGGCAAATATCATATATATATTTTTACGAGTTGTGCTGTGTTTTGACAAGCGAGTAGGGCGAGTCAAAATACAAACAACGAATAAAAAATTTAAAGCGATACTGCGCACCAAAACGTCTAATAAGAGATTTATCATCCAACTCTGTAGTCAATAATTTATCAATGAAAGAGGCAGAGTGTGACAGTTTTGTGCGTGCGCGCCGAACTGTGCGGCTGATAGGTTTTCTGTTGTAAAAATAACTGTACAATATCGATATCGCTGTATAATTGTACTGTTATTTGGACGGTGTTCGCTGCAGTTGGATAATAAACGCTCTTATGCAGTTTGGTTAATATTACGATGTTACGCCTGAAAACTTTTTCAACCTTTGGTTAGAAAGTGGCATTTTATAAGGATTATCAATAATGATGAAACGTCTCTGATGGAAGTTCATCGGATGAAAATGTTAGCATGGGGATTAGCCACATTTTTCATATAAGACCATTTGCCAGACGTTACACCACAAGGATCACTGATGGGAAAGTATTTCCGCGTACAACCGTCGAAATAGTAGTATCCGTCAACCTAGAATGAGGCTGAGAGAAACACTGGCCCACAATTTGAACCATCACTAGGTGAAACTGAGGAAGGTGCTGGCGTCTCCAAACACTTGTCGCTCACGCGTTTGACAATCTGACAACTGACGCTCTCTTCCTGCCAATCAGCCAAACTTCCTGTTCCCGGATTACATATCAACCAGTTGTTTATGTTGCTCTTGATGAGGACCTGTCTGCCAAGTTGTTTCCACAGAGAGAACTCCATGGCGTTGTAGTCTGTTTCGTTTAGTGGTGGAGTTGTTGATATGGGAACATCCGCTTTCTGGTTCACAAACCAGTTTGGTCTTGGTGTGACTGCGTTTGAACCGGCCATGAAGAACTCATAATCAGTGAAGGTATGGCTCCACACTAGAGTCCAGCCTCCTCCGTTAGTCCCCATGTCACAGTAAGCCTTGAACGCGTTGGTATGGGACCCACCGTCTGGATCAATCCAATAAACTCCCGAGGGAGGAAGTGGCAATTGACTGCGCAGGGTCTGGCACGAGGGGACTGCTGAAGATTGAGTGGTACCTGCGCCTTGTTAATCAACGTAGTATGCATTTGTTGTCAATCATAATGATATGTTAATAAGTTGCAGCAAATTATGTTAATCTAAGTAAAGACACCTGAGATTATCCAACACTTTATTCTCTTCATCTAGTTACTTCGCATCTGAACGTCAAAGATGGCACCAGATTCTGCGGCAATTTTAAGTTGTGGTATATTTTTCGCAATCGTAGCCATCACCATTCCTTTCTCCTCTGAAAAGTCAACTCTTATTTTGGTTTTCCCCTCAATTTGAAAGTGATTATATGCATTATTAGAAAAACGGCTTTAAAAATGTGACAGAACTTCTTTAAGTTCTGCTACAACTGATCAGAATCAGTCAGCCTTGGAGGAACTAATAGAATGTTCTTAAGATGTGACGCAATCACACATCTCGGCTTGATGTAGTTAAAGAAGAAAAATAAGAACTATTGCTTAGTTTTTACATCGGAACTCGAATAAGACTAATGAGAAGAACACAGGAAAAAACTGTTCAGCTTACCAAATGAAGTTACAGTCGACGCCGATGTTGTTGAGGTGTTATATATAATCTGTATAACCTTGTAAAGAAATATATTCATGAATGATCACTTGAAGCTAAAACATGCAGGAAAAAGAGGGTTGAAAGCAAGTTTCATCAGGATAAAAGGGTACTCCTTTGAAACTAAATAGTGACTGATCACATGTTAAAAAACTGACTAAGTTAAAGTTTGAGACCCAAAGATCAAATTAAGTTTCCCTAATTGACTCCCTTTCCTAAAACAAAACAAAACTGCATAACACACCTTTTTCAAATAGAACGAGTCTTCTCGTTGTAAAACCCTGTCAGAAAGCTTCGTTTGTTTTTCACTGTGTAGCAAACATCTTCCTTCGCTTGCCATAAAACTGGCACTTTTGCAAGTAGCTTGCCTTACACACTTTTGTGAACAGGACAGTAAGGAGGCAACCTTTCCATTCCAAATGGTATTTTCATCAGACAGAAAAGAGTTTTTTCTGATCTTGCAGAAAGCACCATCTAGTTCTGCTCTGATCGATGCTGTTAAGAACAGTATGAATACAACTGCGCCCCGCGGGTTCTGCGAAGAAAACCGATGGACTGGCATTGAGCTAGAGAAATGAACGTGGAACGAACGGCAGATTTGAGTTAATATAATGCTTAGAAATGTAGCAGCTGTACATTAAAAAAAAGTTGACGTGATATCTTCGAAATTTAACAGCCCTACCATGGATTTGTTAAATTTCCTTGTGTGCACTAATGTTCTTGTAGATATATCGAGTGTTTTGTTTTTCTTCAAATAACCGAGCCCATGTGAAGCCTTCTCATTTATGATTTTTGAGTATGTGTGACACTGTGTTTTAAGCTGATTTTCCTTCAGCACGTGTGTAAATAGTGAATTGTCGAACTATAATATCTTTGTCGAAATTGTTTAAATATTCTGTTTTGAACAAACCACATTGCACTCGGGTTACTGTCTTCTGTTTCGTGTTTTATTATTTTCTTCTCTTTCTGGGGTAAGCTGTCTAGTATTCTAAAACGCGATTCGACATTTAATAAAACCTATTGTAAAGAAACACTTAGCTGTTCTTGAAGCTGAAGATAGCGAAAGTAAACGTTTTATTTAGTCGAGGTTATTGGCTTGGTTTACCAAAATCTTTTCGTAGCTTTTATTAACAGTCGAAAAAGTTAGTTTGTTATTTCAACGTGTAAAGCTTCAAAACTGAAAAGCGTTGTACACTAATCCTGGTTTTCCAGATGATTACAAACTAGTGGAACTAATACAAGAACATTATTTTCTACACTAAAATAATGCTTGCAATAGTTTTTTGTAATAAGCACGTCAACTCAATCTGTTAACATTCCTCATAACATTATAATCCAGCGCGTAAGTGATGCAAATTCGGCAAATTTCGAAGTTTTTGCCCGAAATTCCCTCGCATCTACTTTAGGTTTCATTGTATTGGAAATAACAAAAGCTACCCGTGAAAAGAATAAAAGGCTACTGGCGAGTTGTCTAAAAGGCTTTTACTTTTTTAACAAACACATCAAATACACACTTCTGATCTTCATTTATCAGTGCAATTTGTGTCCATCATGTTAGATTTTACTAATGATTTAATTGCATATGCATGCGAATAAACAGATATCTTATCACACGCTTGTCTCAGCTTTTAGGTAAAAAGGTTTTAACTGAATACCTCCGCTCACTCGTAAAATATCCTGTGAAGTTTTGAAGGACGAGCAAATTGTACTTGATAGCAATTCAGTTCCATATCATAAGGACCAAGTTTGAAAACTGTGCTCGACTATTTTTTTTAAATTTGAGATCAAACCTTCTCCCATGCGTAACTCATTGCAACACCCCATTAATAAATTCAGAGCACGAGAATCGTAACTATAAATGTATTTTTATTCTGTTTTAATATTTTAACATGAAACTGCTGCACTTTTGCAGTTAACTTTTATGATGGTTTAATTAATTTTGAAGTGGCTGTTAAGTCGCATAATGCTCCCACGTGGGAGTTGATTTGCTCCACAAGGAACAAATGGGTTGGCCAGTCAATGTTTTGTTATATAGCCCCAGGTTTGAAATAATGGAGTACCACTGCACAGTAGCAACTGGACTAGGACATCGGTACAGGGTCTTACCTGGGAGTAAACTGTAATTTCCAGTCAATAGTCAAACTACTGAGTAGCACACGCCACGCTTTTGAGTTATTGGTACGTTACAGAGTGGTATAGGGCGAAGGGTCTAATTGTTTTAGTATCACCTAACTAGTCGGACAGAAAAGGCAATAATAAAGTTAGCAAGTGCAAGTTGAAGAAATATTTATTTGGGAATAAAGCGAAAGAAAGCGTCACGCTTGGTTGCGCCAATTTCGCTACTCGAGGACTATTACTAATAGTCCTCTAGTAGCGTAGCCAATTAAAATGCAGGATTTGCATTAGTCCACTAGTTGGGTGATACTAAACACTTATATTTGATTTCGTGTTCAGTAGTCAACTTGTTGAGAAGCGCTCTCTGCTGATACATACATTGGAAACTGCGGAAATATCAATTCAGCATACTTCGCTCTAGCAACGTATGCTATAGACGTAAAAGATGCATTGCTTTCAGATCTTGCTTTACTTAAGTTCATCCTCTAGACTTCCTTGTCTAGATCTCTTGCATAGGGCCGGGTATGCAGCTACTAATTTACTGGTATGTCTTTGAGGTTTTGGCTGGACCTGGGAAAAGAACGCAGCCAAAAAAAAATATTCCCATGAAGATTTTCCACATTTTTTCAGGCCTTTATTCAACATTTGTGCTCAGGGATCATGTACAGAAAAGAATCTCTTCCTGTGCATCCGTCAAAATAATAATAAGCAGCCCCTATTGATCTTCCCGGCTGGGTCCCCTTTAAACCTGGAGTGCAGGGATATACAATAAAAGCGGAGGCACCTCTGAACACGTGTCTTTCACCTGCTAGGCGATCTTACAAATGATTTTTCCCTGCTGCAATTCAACCAAACTATGTTTCCGGTAAACAAACCAATCAGTTGTTGATGTTACTTTTGACGAAGAATTCCCTCCCAAGCTTCCTCCAAAGGGAAAACTTTACAGCGCAAAAGTCGGTTTTATGCGATGGCGAGGTAGTGAGTACCGGAATATTCACATCAAACTTGGCTGGCCAGTCAGGTCTTTGAGAAACCACGTTTGCCCTGTTGGCAAAGTTGTCCTAATCAGCTCATTGTTAACGAAGCATAGCTTCCGCTAAGATAATATCAGTATTTTTGATGTTCAGGGTTCTTGTTCCCAATACCGTCGATCAGTTTTATTAAAGTGTAATTGGTGACCTTGCCTAGCTTTATTCATTGATCTATTTATTATTCTTTGTTTGAAGATATTAGCAATACTATGCTACTCTGACATCCGAAAGAAAGTAAAGGTACATGCGAATGAACGCTATTATGTATTCTGGTTAATATTACGATGTAATATAAACATTAATTAATTTTGTACAAGACTTGTATCTTACCCCATCTGGAATATTGTAGTCCACATTTGTTAGGAATAAACAAAACTTTAGTTAACAAACTTGAAGCTGCTAATCATTATGCATCGAAGACTCTTTTAAATACTGGGTATGATTTGGATTACAATTCCATATTGTCCATAGTGGGAATGAATTATTTGGAATTTAGAAGAAATGAACCCTCACTTTCATTACTATATAATGTATTAAGGGAAATGGGTCCAGTTATATTTCTAGTTTCTTTAAGTTCCGTGTCTCACATTATAACTTAAGGGGTGGAGGTGTATCCCTGTTCAACACTCCTATAACAACCAATACTTCCATAATTCTTTTACTTACAAGGTTACTACACCTGTTAAGCAGTCACCCAACTTAAGTGCATTTTAAAAAAATTTGATCTTTTAAATTTAAGGACAAGTTGTCTATGTAATTACTCTCAATCTTAAATTTTTATATTTTCGTCACAATTTTAGGTTAGCTGTGTTTATATTTATAACTAAATAGTTATTATCGCGCTTGTTGGATAGTTGGATAACATGATAATTGTTACATGATAATTTCAGGTATGTATCTTTTTTACATATAACTTTGTTATTACTTATTTAATTTTCTCTCTGTTATTTTAGTCATGCATTTTATACATGAGCCTCTGGCTCGGATACTGAGGGCAACCTCAATCCCACTCAATGACTTTAATAAATTGATTGATTGATTGATTGATTGATTGATTGATTGATTGATTGATTGATTGATTGATTGATTGATTGATTGATTGATTGATTAACTGCTGAACACGTTTTCAACCTTTGGTTAAGAGTGCCATTGGTCTCTATTTTTAAGGATTATCGATAACGATGAAACGTCGTTGATGAAAGTTTATCGAATGAAAATGTTACCGTGCGGGTTCTCCACATTCTTCATATAATGCCATTGGGAAGACCTTATACCACAAAGATCATTGATAGGCCAGTCCCTCCTCTTACAACCGTCAAAATAGTAGTATGCGTCAACCATGAATGAGGTTGAGAGAAACACTGGCCCACAACGTGAAACCCGAGCACTAGGTGAAACTGAGGAAGGTGCTGGCGCCTCCAGACACTCGTCAGTCACGCGTTTGACAATCTGACAACTGACACTCCCTTCCTGCCAATCAACCAAACTTCCTGTTCCAGGTTGGCATACCAGCCAGTTGTTTATGTTGCTCTTGATGAGGACCTCTCTGCCGAGTTGTTTCCACAGAGAGAAGTCCATGGCGTTGTAGTCTGTCTCGCTCAGTGGTGGAGTAGTTGATGTGGGAACATTAACTTTCCAGCTCGCTGGCCAGTTTGGTCTTGGTGTGACAGCGTTTGAATCATCCTTGAAAAAATAATAATTAGTGAAGGTATAGCTCCACACTAGAGTCCAACCTCCTCCATTAGTCTCCATATCACAGTAAGCTTCGAACGCGTTGGTATGGGACCCACCGTCTGGATCAATCCAATAAACTCCCGAGGATTGACTGCGTAGGGTCTGACACGAGGGGACTGCTGACGATTGGGTCGTACCTGCGCCTTGTTAATCAATATAATATGCATTTCTTGTCAATCATAATAATACTGATGTCAGTCTAAGTAAAGACACCTGAAAGTATAACTGGGTTATAGATTCTGGAGCAATTTTAGTTTTAGCCTGTGAACAGACTCCGGCTGAAAGGGCCAAAAAAGATATGACTGAGGGGGAAGTGGCCGAGGGGAAAGCTTTCCTTTTTCCTCCGCTTTCTCTTCGCTCTATTCTCGACTAGAGAGTCTTTTCACAGGCTATTTTAGTTTATGTCTCTTTTCTTATTTTTTTTTTTCGCAAATTGTCACAATCGTAGCCATCAACGTTCCTCAATCCCCTGAAAAGTGAACTGTTATTTTGGTTTTTCCTTCAGATTGAACTTAATTCTGTGCATTATTACAAAAAAAAAAAATGCCTGAAACATATGGCAGAGCTTCTTTTTAAAGGTTCTGTTACAGCTGATCAGTTTCGTCCAGTTACAATCAGTCAACCTCGAAAGAACTAACAGAATATTCTTAAAATTTGACACGTCCAGGTTTGATACAACTAAAGAAAAATAAGAACAGTTGCTTAGTTATCATATTCGAACTCAAGTTGATAGAAAAAAAAAGGCAAAAAAAAAAAAAAAAAAAAGAAAGCTGACTGCTCAGCTAGCTTACCAAATGAAAGTGGAGTCGATGGCGAAGTTCTCGAGGTCTTATTTATAACCTTTATCACCTTAAAAAGAAATATATGAAAGATCAGTAGACGTATGAACATGCGGGAACAAGTGAAATAAATTTTATAAAGCAAGTTTTATCAGAATCAAAGGGTACTTTTTTTGAAACTAAATAGTGACTGATTGCATGTTCAAAACGCGACGAGGTTAACGTTTAGGGCAAAGGTCAAAAAAGTTTTCCGTTATTGCTATATGGCCACTTTCGATATATTAAAACTCAGCTTGATAGTGAGGCCTAGAGGACACAAACAAAAGAGATGAATAAACATGGTCATTCAGTTTCCTTTGTTTGTTTCCCCTAAGCCTCACTGGCAAGCTGAATTCTAAGTATCGCAAACGGTCTATTGGCCCCTGTTACTAAACCAGAACACAACTGCACAACACACCTTTTTCAAATAGAACGAGTGTTCTCGTTTTAAAACCTTGTCAGAAAGCTTCGTTTGTTTTTCATTGTGTAGCAAACATCTTCCTTCGCTTGCCATAAAACTGGCACTTTTGCAAGTAGCTTGCCTTACACACTTTTGTGAACAGGACAGTAAGGAGGCAGCCTTTCCATTCCAAATAGTGTTTTCATCAGACAGAAACGAATTTTTTCTGGTCTTGAAGAACGTGCCATCTAGTTCTGCTCTGGTCGATGCTGTTAAGAGTAGTATGAATACAACTGTGCCCCGCGGGTTCTGGAAAGAAAACCGATGGACAGGCATTGAGCTAGAGAAATAAAGTGAAACGAACGGCAAGTTTGAGTTAATCCTGAGAAATGTAGCAGCTGTACGTTAAAACAAATTGACCTGATGTCTTCGAAAGTTAACAGCCCTACCGTGGATTTTTCTAAATTTCTTTGTGTGAGCTGATGTTCCTGTAGATATATCGAGTGTTTAGTTTTTCTTCAAATAACCGAGCCCATGTGAAGCCTTCTCATTTATAGCTTTTGGATATCCGTGACACTGTGTTTAACTGTTTTATGCTGTTTTTCCTTTAGCGCGTGTATAAATAATGAATTGTGGAACTATAATACCTTTATTGAAATTGTTGATATAGTGTTTCCAAAAAACACATCGCACTTGAATGACTGTCTTCTGTATCGTGTTTCATTAATTTTTTCTCTTCTTTGGAGGTAAGCTGTCTAGTATTCTAAAACGCGATTCGACATTTAATAAAACTTTTTGTAAAGAAACACTTAGCTGTTCTTGGAGGTAAAGATAGAGAAAGTAAACGATTTAGTCGAGGTTATTGGCTTGGTTTACCACAAAATTTTCGTAGCCTTTATTAATAGTCGGTACAAAAAGTTATTTTTATAGTTTTTGGCTTCAGCTTCAAAACTGAAAAGTGTTGTACACCAATCCAGGTTTTCCAGATGATTGCAAACTAGTGGAACTAAAACGAGAACATTATTTTGTAACCAACAAAATAATGCTTGCAATAGTCTTTTTTATAACCACGTCGACTCACGCACACATGACTTCAGATCTTTAACTCTTTGCTGTTTTAACACAAGCAATCTTACCGAAAGACTTCTTGGCGCAAAATTTACCTTGGAGCAAACACATTATCATGGGTATAACAATGATTATTAAAACGTTGTCAGTGATATTGATACAACACACACACATTGAAACAAATGTGAAAACAATACTCTTTGCCAACTGAGCTACCCGTTTACCTTGTTATGATAATCGTTTAATCATAAAATTACCTTAAATCAAGAATAATATAACATCCTTTTATGTCTAAGAAATATCATGTTGCATTTTCGGAAAGAAAACACATTTCGACCTTATGCAGTAAAAGGCGTTTAAGACATTTTGGTTGAACTTCATGATGACTAGACGTTCGATTTATTCGCGGTGTTGTTCTAAGTTGTGAAATGATAGAAAAAAGAATGATGACAGAACCCTTGAAGCTTTGGGGTCATCAACTTCAGTGCTATGAAACGTTTCAACGACAATTTCAAAAGATTACTTTGCTTCAGGCCATAATTTGCATGTCTTCCTAGCTATAATGGCGTGTCCAAGTCAATCCCTGAACGATCGACTTGTTTGACTTGTTCAAATCAATGTACAACTGTTGTTATTAATAATGACCTGGACGAAACGAGCTGCGTAAGACTAGCCACGAACAATGTATTATCACAAGTAACTGTCAACTTTATGGTCAGTTTTCACTCGTGAATTTGTGGCGGGTCTAAAACGCAGGTCACGGGTCATTGTTTTACTAATACTGGAACAACCTTAAACCTTTGCTAATACTAACCTTAAGCCCCAACATTGTCTTAGTGTAGTATTTAGGCCTAAGGTTAGCATTAGGAAGGGGTTAGGGTTGTTCCATTATTGGTAAAACAGTGACCCGTGACCTGTGTTTTAGACCCGCCGGTGAATTTGTGCTGTCAGCAATCCATATGCAACATAAGACGAGATTGCTGTCATCATTTTGTAAGCGAACGGGACTTTAGGCGCAATGCTCAACGAGTTTGCCAAGCAGAAAGGTCTCTAATGAGTCCCTTGGCCTAGACAAAACAAGCTGCGTAAGACTAGCGACGAGCAATGTATTATCACAAGTAACTGTCAACTTTATTGTCAATAATAACAAACTAGTAGCGAAAAATGTGTCATGGTATTTTCTTACAAATTGAGATATTAAACTTGTTCGAGCTCTTCAGTTCAAATAAAACACTCCTCTACAATACGTAAACAGGAACATGCAAATATTTGCTGATGGTCAATCAAGCAAGGACTCAATTGCAAGTGTCTTGATGGAAGGCATATTTAATTTTTCGTTCTGTCGGTCAAATGGCTTCACGAAACCTCAATTTTGGGTTGATTTCTTAGCTTGTGGAAAACACATCGATTCCAGTCGTTTTATTTGGTGAGATGTTGATTAAGCCTTCCCTTACAAATTACTAGTGAGTATAACACTTTTTATTACATGGTAAGCGTGGAATTCAGTGTGAAAAAGCCGTGGATAAAATTCATACTGCCAGGGAAGTGATTACGACATCATTTCCCGGGAAATGATACGATATCACTCCTCGGTTTGTATTAGCCAATCAAATATTTCTTTTTAAATGTCCAAGACCAATCGGGTTACTCGTTATATTTTAGCTGACTCCAGCGTTGACGTGAGTACTCGTGAAAGAAATGGCGGCTTTGGCGACCTTCTGTTTTTCTCTAGTCTTTAAAGGTGATGGTGCTTGACATTGCCCGTTTTATTGAAGAATCCGAGAATAAATACTGATTAAGTTGAGGGTAAACTCTTACTATTTCGGAGGTTGTTTGCGTAAAAGAAAATGATTAAACTAAACTAGAAGACTCGCTCGTTCGCGTTATGATATTACCAGTAAATACTCGTGAATAACACCGATATTAGACTCTCAACATGTAGTAACTGCTATATTTAAGACGATTATGCCAAGCGCGGAGCATAACATAGAACTAAACATACTGAAAAACAAATGAATAATCCGAATTTACTTCAAGAAAAGAGCGAGGGCGTCCTATTTGTCTTCCAGCAGTGGCTGCATCATTCAACTCCAGAGCCACGATAACGTGGCCAAACGAAACTGAAGGATTGGCAACCAGGCAGTCAATGAGTCAAATTGTCAGCTATCTCAGCAGACCTTAATTGTTTTCTCTGTCAGAAACCGCAACTGCTCGCTTAAAAGGAACTACAGTTCCACTAGACTTTTAGCCACGGTAAACTGATAAGATAATTGTGCGTATAATACACTGAACTAATAACAAATGACCTTGCTTTAGTTAAATCCCTATATCAAGGCCTGTAGCAACAAAATTAAAGTGATCTATATTGACTGGCAGTGATTACCTGATGCAAAGGGTAAACACTAACAAATATTTGTTGTAATCTACGGCCTATTTTTGAAGATAACACGGTTACTAGAATATTAAAAACATATGATTAAATCTGGTCCAGCAGTAGATTAGATTACCCGCAGTAATCAAAGGGCAAATTAAATACAAAATTTTCCATGTCAAACCTAACTTCTCGAAATAATGTTATATAGTCGAGCCACTTATAAGGGCACACACTTGTACACACAAATTGTCTCTGTAGCAGAGGTATGGAAAATTTAAAACGTAATGTCAGAGTTCTATGTGACTAGAACACTAAACAAATGTCCTCTTATGAGTGTCCACAGGTATGTCTCGGAATTAGTTGAGCTTTGATCATATTCTCACACTAAGCTCAATCTACATCTAACTCAGGTATCGTGATGTAATCGAGTTTACATTTCATTATTTCTTTAGAATGCAAAATTAATTGGCTAACATAGTCAACAACAGCGCCTATAATGTAATTCTCGGGGACCAATGAGAGGAGCCATTTGAGACGCTGTTTCAAGAAAGCAAGCCCTTTGTGACTACCTTCTTTCTCTGTAACACCAGCAACGTCTTTGAAGAAGCCTGAGGCGATGAACTCAGAAGACACTGCCTTGTGAATAATTGGTAAGGTTGAGTTGTTTTCTTCAGTATAACAATCAACAAGATCTTCTAACCATCCGAAAGCAACTTGACACGGAGAAATCTGCTCGACGTTTTCTTCCGACAGCTCCTTGTTCTCAGACTCGAATCTCTTTTTCTTCTCCCAGGTTCTGATATAGAATTTACGAGCTAACATGTTTAGTTCCCCTTCAAGAGTATTCAGTAACATCTTGAAGAAAGCTTCCAACCCATTCCATATTTGCTTCAACCTTCTGTAGGCATCTTCATCAAGTTCTGTAGTGTTGAGGTCAGTTAGCTGATTCCAAAACCAGCCAAACTTGCGAGACTGAGGAACGTTACTAACGTTCACAAACATTTTGTTCCAGACAGCAGTAGGGTTTTTCCCAGCACGGATGCCTGAGATCATGTAATCTATCAAATCAGTCATTTGTAAAACTCTGATCTGTTGTTTTCTCTTTCTGGCGCCCTCTGGTGTGTACGCCAATTCCAAACCCTTCATCTGATTTAACAAGTCTTCCAGGACACATTGGCGCAGTTTGTTCTCGTGATCAGCCACTGTTAGTAGATTTTGTCTTGGTATGAAGAAGTTCTGAACTTTCTCCGTCTTCACGCCTTCCAAAGCCAACTCTAAAGCTTGAATTATTCTTTGCGCCCGACAATCTTTTTCCCAGCGATAGCGGCCCGTTATGAACAGCTCAGAAAATAGGACGGTTTTGAATATGTAAGATGGAACCAAAGATGAATCCCATCCAAGCATCTTCGATATCTCATCTCTCACGACTTTCAGGACTCGGTAGCACGTTTTCAAGCCTTCCGGGGAAGAGGCCAGAATTTCTTTTTCTACCATGGAGAACGAGATACGCCAGCTGTCAAATCCAGCGGGAACAACGTGGAATCCACACTTCTGAAGAACTGGTTGTATTTCTTGTGAAAGCTTTGTCAACTCAACCGGTAGCTTGGATTCTTGGTAATCCAAAGTCAGTGTCAAATCCACACTTACAGCCAGATTTCTGTAACTATTGCCGCCTTGCCAGTAGATTGTAAGGGTTGTAGCCGGGCCGTGTGATTCCGAGTACATCAGACCAGAAGACCTTTCTTGGCCATCGACATTTCCTAGTATCTCAGAATACACAGGCCACCATGTTTCCTTAAACATTCTTTGTCCTACTCGTTGGATGACCAGTCCTTCAGGTACTTCGGCGTCACTAAGAGATGCATTGACAAGCTTTTTGAAGAAGCGGGAGAGCATATGTGGGTTGAAGAAGCCCTCTTCATCTTTGAATTCTTCCCACCCTTCTTCGTCAAGGAGGAGTTTGACGTAGCCTTCGCCTTTGTCGCATGGACGAAATGATGGTTTGTCGGTGAGTGAGTCAATTCTTATCATGAAGTCGAATTCATCTGGCTGGCNGAGTGTTTAGTTTTTCTTCAAATAACCGAGCCCATGTGAAGCCTTCTCATTTATAGCTTTTGGATATCCGTGACACTGTGTTTAACTGTTTTATGCTGTTTTTCCTTTAGCGCGTGTATAAATAATGAATTGTGGAACTATAATACCTTTATTGAAATTGTTGATATAGTGTTTCCAAAAAACACATCGCACTTGAATGACTGTCTTCTGTATCGTGTTTCATTAATTTTTTCTCTTCTTTGGAGGTAAGCTGTCTAGTATTCTAAAACGCGATTCGACATTTAATAAAACTTTTTGTAAAGAAACACTTAGCTGTTCTTGGAGGTAAAGATAGAGAAAGTAAACGATTTAGTCGAGGTTATTGGCTTGGTTTACCACAAAATTTTCGTAGCCTTTATTAATAGTCGGTACAAAAAGTTATTTTTATAGTTTTTGGCTTCAGCTTCAAAACTGAAAAGTGTTGTACACCAATCCAGGTTTTCCAGATGATTGCAAACTAGTGGAACTAAAACGAGAACATTATTTTGTAACCAACAAAATAATGCTTGCAATAGTCTTTTTTATAACCACGTCGACTCACGCACACATGACTTCAGATCTTTAACTCTTTGCTGTTTTAACACAAGCAATCTTACCGAAAGACTTCTTGGCGCAAAATTTACCTTGGAGCAAACACATTATCATGGGTATAACAATGATTATTAAAACGTTGTCAGTGATATTGATACAACACACACACATTGAAACAAATGTGAAAACAATACTCTTTGCCAACTGAGCTACCCGTTTACCTTGTTATGATAATCGTTTAATCATAAAATTACCTTAAATCAAGAATAATATAACATCCTTTTATGTCTAAGAAATATCATGTTGCATTTTCGGAAAGAAAACACATTTCGACCTTATGCAGTAAAAGGCGTTTAAGACATTTTGGTTGAACTTCATGATGACTAGACGTTCGATTTATTCGCGGTGTTGTTCTAAGTTGTGAAATGATAGAAAAAAGAATGATGACAGAACCCTTGAAGCTTTGGGGTCATCAACTTCAGTGCTATGAAACGTTTCAACGACAATTTCAAAAGATTACTTTGCTTCAGGCCATAATTTGCATGTCTTCCTAGCTATAATGGCGTGTCCAAGTCAATCCCTGAACGATCGACTTGTTTGACTTGTTCAAATCAATGTACAACTGTTGTTATTAATAATGACCTGGACGAAACGAGCTGCGTAAGACTAGCCACGAACAATGTATTATCACAAGTAACTGTCAACTTTATGGTCAGTTTTCACTCGTGAATTTGTGGCGGGTCTAAAACGCAGGTCACGGGTCATTGTTTTACTAATACTGGAACAACCTTAAACCTTTGCTAATACTAACCTTAAGCCCCAACATTGTCTTAGTGTAGTATTTAGGCCTAAGGTTAGCATTAGGAAGGGGTTAGGGTTGTTCCATTATTGGTAAAACAGTGACCCGTGACCTGTGTTTTAGACCCGCCGGTGAATTTGTGCTGTCAGCAATCCATATGCAACATAAGACGAGATTGCTGTCATCATTTTGTAAGCGAACGGGACTTTAGGCGCAATGCTCAACGAGTTTGCCAAGCAGAAAGGTCTCTAATGAGTCCCTTGGCCTAGACAAAACAAGCTGCGTAAGACTAGCGACGAGCAATGTATTATCACAAGTAACTGTCAACTTTATTGTCAATAATAACAAACTAGTAGCGAAAAATGTGTCATGGTATTTTCTTACAAATTGAGATATTAAACTTGTTCGAGCTCTTCAGTTCAAATAAAACACTCCTCTACAATACGTAAACAGGAACATGCAAATATTTGCTGATGGTCAATCAAGCAAGGACTCAATTGCAAGTGTCTTGATGGAAGGCATATTTAATTTTTCGTTCTGTCGGTCAAATGGCTTCACGAAACCTCAATTTTGGGTTGATTTCTTAGCTTGTGGAAAACACATCGATTCCAGTCGTTTTATTTGGTGAGATGTTGATTAAGCCTTCCCTTACAAATTACTAGTGAGTATAACACTTTTTATTACATGGTAAGCGTGGAATTCAGTGTGAAAAAGCCGTGGATAAAATTCATACTGCCAGGGAAGTGATTACGACATCATTTCCCGGGAAATGATACGATATCACTCCTCGGTTTGTATTAGCCAATCAAATATTTCTTTTTAAATGTCCAAGACCAATCGGGTTACTCGTTATATTTTAGCTGACTCCAGCGTTGACGTGAGTACTCGTGAAAGAAATGGCGGCTTTGGCGACCTTCTGTTTTTCTCTAGTCTTTAAAGGTGATGGTGCTTGACATTGCCCGTTTTATTGAAGAATCCGAGAATAAATACTGATTAAGTTGAGGGTAAACTCTTACTATTTCGGAGGTTGTTTGCGTAAAAGAAAATGATTAAACTAAACTAGAAGACTCGCTCGTTCGCGTTATGGTATTACCAGTAAATACTCGTGAATAACACCGATATTAGACTCTCAACATGTAGTAACTGCTATATTTAAGACGATTATGCCAAGCGCGGAGCATAACATAGAACTAAACATACTGAAAAACAAATGAATAATCCGAATTTACTTCAAGAAAAGAGCGAGGGCGTCCTATTTGTCTTCCAGCAGTGGCTGCATCATTCAACTCCAGAGCCACGATAACGTGGCCAAACGAAACTGAAGGATTGGCAACCAGGCAGTCAATGAGTCAAATTGTCAGCTATCTCAGCAGACCTTAATTGTTTTCTCTGTCAGAAACCGCAACTGCTCGCTTAAAAGGAACTACAGTTCCACTAGACTTTTAGCCACGGTAAACTGATAAGATAATTGTGCGTATAATACACTGAACTAATAACAAATGACCTTGCTTTAGTTAAATCCCTATATCAAGGCCTGTAGCAACAAAATTAAAGTGATCTATATTGACTGGCAGTGATTACCTGATGCAAAGGGTAAACACTAACAAATATTTGTTGTAATCTACGGCCTATTTTTGAAGATAACACGGTTACTAGAATATTAAAAACATATGATTAAATCTGGTCCAGCAGTAGATTAGATTACCCGCAGTAATCAAAGGGCAAATTAAATACAAAATTTTCCATGTCAAACCTAACTTCTCGAAATAATGTTATATAGTCGAGCCACTTATAAGGGCACACACTTGTACACACAAATTGTCTCTGTAGCAGAGGTATGGAAAATTTAAAACGTAATGTCAGAGTTCTATGTGACTAGAACACTAAACAAATGTCCTCTTATGAGTGTCCACAGGTATGTCTCGGAATTAGTTGAGCTTTGATCATATTCTCACACTAAGCTCAATCTACATCTAACTCAGGTATCGTGATGTAATCGAGTTTACATTTCATTATTTCTTTAGAATGCAAAATTAATTGGCTAACATAGTCAACAACAGCGCCTATAATGTAATTCTCGGGGACCAATGAGAGGAGCCATTTGAGACGCTGTTTCAAGAAAGCAAGCCCTTTGTGACTACCTTCTTTCTCTGTAACACCAGCAACGTCTTTGAAGAAGCCTGAGGCGATGAACTCAGAAGACACTGCCTTGTGAATAATTGGTAAGGTTGAGTTGTTTTCTTCAGTATAACAATCAACAAGATCTTCTAACCATCCGAAAGCAACTTGACACGGAGAAATCTGCTCGACGTTTTCTTCCGACAGCTCCTTGTTCTCAGACTCGAATCTCTTTTTCTTCTCCCAGGTTCTGATATAGAATTTACGAGCTAACATGTTTAGTTCCCCTTCAAGAGTATTCAGTAACATCTTGAAGAAAGCTTCCAAGCCATTCCATATTTGCTTCAACCTTCTGTAGGCATCTTCATCAAGTTCTGTAGTGTTGAGGTCAGTTAGCTGATTCCAAAACCAGCCAAACTTGCGAGACTGAGGAACGTTACTAACGTTCACAAACATTTTGTTCCAGACAGCAGTAGGGTTTTTCCCAGCACGGATGCCTGAGATCATGTAATCTATCAAATCAGTCATTTGTAAAACTCTGATCTGTTGTTTTCTCTTTCTGGCGCCCTCTGGTGTGTACGCCAATTCCAAACCCTTCATCTGATTTAACAAGTCTTCCAGGACACATTGGCGCAGTTTGTTCTCGTGATCAGCCACTGTTAGTAGATTTTGTCTTGGTATGAAGAAGTTCTGAACTTTCTCCGTCTTCACGCCTTCCAAAGCCAACTCTAAAGCTTGAATTATTCTTTGCGCCCGACAATCTTTTTCCCAGCGATAGCGGCCCGTTATGAACAGCTCAGAAAATAGGACGGTTTTGAATATGTAAGATGGAACCAAAGATGAATCCCATCCAAGCATCTTCGATATCTCATCTCTCACGACTTTCAGGACTCGGTAGCACGTTTTCAAGCCTTCCGGGGAAGAGGCCAGAATTTCTTTTTCTACCATGGAGAACGAGATACGCCAGCTGTCAAATCCAGCGGGAACAACGTGGAATCCACACTTCTGAAGAACTGGTTGTATTTCTTGTGAAAGCTTTGTCAACTCAACCGGTAGCTTGGATTCTTGGTAATCCAAAGTCAGTGTCAAATCCACACTTACAGCCAGATTTCTGTAACTATTGCCGCCTTGCCAGTAGATTGTAAGGGTTGTAGCCGGGCCGTGTGATTCCGAGTACATCAGACCAGAAGACCTTTCTTGGCCATCGACATTTCCTAGTATCTCAGAATACACAGGCCACCATGTTTCCTTAAACATTCTTTGTCCTACTCGTTGGATGACCAGTCCTTCAGGTACTTCGGCGTCACTAAGAGATGCATTGACAAGCTTTTTGAAGAAGCGGGAGAGCATATGTGGGTTGAAGAAGCCCTCTTCATCTTTGAATTCTTCCCACCCTTCTTCGTCAAGGAGGAGTTTGACGTAGCCTTCGCCTTTGTCGCATGGACGAAATGATGGTTTGTCGGTGAGTGAGTCAATTCTTATCATGAAGTCGAATTCATCTGGCTGGCAAACCTTCGTTCCTTCGTAAACACTTCCGCTCTTAATAAGAGTACTCTGAAATCGCTTGTCTCGCTTTTCCACCTCCGCTAGAATGTTGGTCACGAATTGCTCGAGTTTCTCTCGAATCAATTCGGCCTCGCTTTCGTCTTCAAACCTTGCATTTTTCTCGAAACGTTCCACAATTTCGGCCATGACGATGGAGTTTGTCTACTACGATTGACTTTGCCAAAAACTGGCTTTGCATCACTAGCGATTTGTGAATATTGGACCGTTGTTGAGATACCTAGCATAACATGTCAACATCTTTTGTTCCTTGGAATGCAATTATCCGCAAAACACATCCTTTATTCGAATAACACATTAAACAGGAACTGTCACTGTAAGTTGATAGACTTTGCCCGAGGCATACATTCATACACTTGTGCTAATTTCATTCTAGAAGTGTGAGATATGGTATCGAAACGTGGTCAAATCAATCGAAATCAAGTCGGCTTCGCTTCGATCCTCAAACCATGCTTTTTTTTTTCTCAAAACTTTTAAAAAATGTCTGCCATGACGATGCAGTTCGACTTCTTCAATAGACTTTCCCAAAAGTCGTTTTGCATCACTGGATATCATGCAGTGTTCAAATAACTAGCATAATATTTCAGCTTCTTTTGTTCCTTGGAATACATGTTCACCCGCAAAACATATTCTTTCAAACAGGAACTTTTTTGCCCAATGAATACATTCATACACGTGTACGGGCATTAATTTAATTTTACAAGTTTTAGATAATTATGGTCTACAAACGTGATCGGATTTTTTGCACTATATTTATCACTATTTTGCACAATACTCTGGAATAAGGTAAGGGTCTTAACAAGAAGGTCCATTCTCCGCACCAAAAACTCCCCTCCTTCCCCTGGATTGATCAGTGCAATATTCCCTAAACTATAAAGTAGATAGTTGGGGTCTTTGGAAGGTATTTGCACTCTGAGCCGTGCTAGGTTATGCAGAGTGACAAACGGAACCAAGCAGTAGCTCTTAGTCGTTTTTAACAATAGCAACCTTATTGCAAGACTGCTCGGCGCCAAGTTTGCCTTGCAGCAAACACATTAACCTAAGTGTAACAATGATTATTAAAAAGTCGTCAGTGATATTGTTACAACACACAGACAATGAATCGAATACCACACAAAAAAAAAAAAACCACAAAAACACTCTCAGCCAAATCAGCTGACCATTTACGTTAATATGATAATCATTTAGTTATTCGTTTTTTTTCCTACTTAACTTAAATCCCGAATAATACAAGACCCTTTGATGTTTCAGAAGTTTAATGTTGCGTTTTTGGCTGGAAACTAGAAAAACAAGAACGGTTGATCCTTATGCAAGTGGCATTTGAGAAATGATTTTGGGTGAACTTCTTGATGACTAGACTTTGTATTACTAGACTTTCCTTATTATAGATAAACAGTTAGTAACTTATTAAGCAAACTTCGGTGCTTTAGGATGATTTCCAGTCCTGAGGAGAAGTGTAAATTTACGACAATTTCACTCTGATGATATCTATGGCGTAATGTGTTTGACCCTTTAACTGAACTTAAATTTCAGTTGTCAATATTTTGCTTGCAACTTTTCTGTTTATGTGACACTTACGTACGATAAAGATGAAAGTAAGCTTTTGCTATTTCGGAAGCTGTTTGCGTAAAAGGAAATATTGACTAAGCTCGAAGACTCGCTCGTTTTCCATATGGTATTCTTAGTAAATAATGATAAACGAATACGATATCAGACTCAGGTAATAACAGCGATATTTAATACGATTATACAAGCGCTATGCAGAACATAACACAGAACTAAACAAACCGAAAAGCTAATTAAAAAAGATCTGGAAAGACGCAACAAACAGGAACTGTTTTCTGTTCAGTTGGCGGCGTGTAAGACGTCATTTTGGTCACACTTCATGATGACTGGAATTTGGGTTTATTGGTGGTCTTGCTCCTAGATGTGAAATGATGAAAAAAAGAATGTATGATGACAGAACTTATCGTGTTCCACTTCAATTCCATTCAACGTTTCAATGAAAATTTTAAAATTGTAACTTTGCTTCGGGGCATAATTTGCATGTCCTTTATTATGACTCTTCCTAGCTTTAAGGGTGCGTCCAAGTCAAAACCATTCTGGAACGACTGATCGACTTGTTTGACTCTTTCCAATCAGTTTACAAATGTTCTTATTAATACCAATCTGGTAGCGAAAAATGTATCTTGGCGTTTTCTCACAAGTTCGATCTGTTCAATTCCAAACAAACCAGTTTCCTGTAAAGACGTAAACAGGAACAAGCAATTATTTGTTGATGGTCGATCATGCAGTTAGTGTCTTAACAGATCTAAAGGCATATTTTCCGTTCTTTCAGTCATCAAACGTCAATTTTGGTTGCTCATTCCTTGGCTTGTGTAACAGCTCATGTATATCGATCCCTAAAGTTTTGTTGCTGGGATATTGATAAGATCACACCAAGTTTGATACCGGACCGATCATTAAGTGTCAGTGCAAGAGCCGTTTTCACTGTTAACTTCACTCATTTGCATAACACTCCAGCGCGTAAGTGTGGCAATTTCGGCCAATTTCGAAGTTTGTGCAAAGTCCGTAGCCAGAGAAAATTATAAGTGATGAAAAGTATATGGTTAAATTCTCTTCCTAGGTATTTAGCAGTGTTTTTCTTTCCCTCCTTCAAAAAGCAACAAGACAACAACCACAACAACAACACAAAAAAGACTGAGGGATGCCTTGGTTCGAAATTGCCTCGTATCCACTTTTGATTACATTGTAATGCAAATGAAAAAAGCTAACCGTTACAATGATAAAAGGCTACTGGTGAGTTATCTAAAATTTTAATTTTCTTTAACAAACATATCAAATACACACACTTCTGGTCTTCATTAGTCGGTGCAATTTGTGTCCACCATTTTAGATTTTACAAATGGGGTAATTGCATGCGAAGAAATACAGATATTTATCATGCTTATCACACGCTTGTCTCAATTTCAAGGGGCATTATCGCGTGGATTTTGTTGCATTTTAGGTAATAAGTTTTTAACTGAATTCCTTCGCTAACTCGTAAAATGCCTTCAGAAAACCAAGTTAGTGGGATATATTCTGTGAAGTTTTGAAGGACGAGCAAGTTGTTCTTGATAGCAATCTTTCCAAATCATAAGGACAAAGTTTGAATTTTCTGCTCGACTTTTTTAAAAATTTGTCATCAAACCCTCTCTCATGCGTAAGTCATTGCAACACCCCTTTAATAAATTCAGAGCACGACAATCGTAACTTTAAATAATTAAATTTTTATTGTATTTTAATACAGTGACTTCTGAAATTACACGTTTACTTTTGAAGTCAACATTGATGATGTTTGAATTATAAAGTCGCTGTCATAGTCGAATGATGCTCCCATGTGGGTTCATTTGATTTATTCCATAAGAAATCAATGGGTGGGCCGGTAAATGCTTTGTTGTGTAGCCTTTGAAACAATGGAGCATGCTACACCACGGGCACCCCCCCCCCTAACAGGGCCTCTCGTCTCATGGCCATACCTGAGAGTAAACTGTAAATTCTGGGCAATAGTCCGGCAAACTACTGAGTAGCACACGCCATACACGCTTTTGAGTTATTGACACGTTACAGAGTGATATGCAAACTTGTAAAGTTATAAACTTATAAAACTTTAGCTCGACCTTGTAAAATAACCCAGCGAACAAAATATTCCCATGAGGATTTTCAACATTTTTCAGGCCGTCATCCCGCATTTGTCCGCAGGGATCATGTGCGGGAAAACCCCTTCCTGTGCAGCCGTCAAAGTAATAAAAAGCAGCCCCTGTTGATCCTCTTCCGGCTGGGTACTTTTAAAGCTGGACCGCAGGGATATCTAATATGTAAAAATAAAGGCGGAGGCACCTTCTGAACGCGTGGCAGTCACACGCTTGACGAACTTACAAATGACTTTTCCCTGCTGCTATTCAACCAAACTACCTGTTTCCGGTAAACAAAGCATCCAATTGTTGATGTTACTTTTGACGAGGAATTCCCTTCCAAGCTGCTTCCAAAGCGAACAATTTACAGCTTTATAGTCAGTTTCATGCGATGGCGGGGTAGGGGATACCATAACATTTACAGAGGACGCGGCTGGTCGGTTAGGCCTGGGAGTAATCGCGTTTGCCTTATTAGCAAAGTTTTCGTAGTCAGTAAACATGTAACTCCACACTAGAGTCCAGCCTCCTCCATCGGTGTCCATCTTACAGTAATCCTTGAACGGGTTGGCATGGGATGCACCATCCACATCAATCCAATGCATTCCACTGAGATGGAGAGCTGAGGAAAGGGACTTGCACGAGGGAACAGCCAGCTCCGGCCTGGAACCTACTCGATGAATCAGGCGGATCTTGGAAACAACAATTTTAGCATTTCTAACTCCACTGAAAAGTACAATCAGGTGATATTGTTCAATATAATTTTAAGTGGCAACATGACACAAACGACCACATAATTAAACCAAATTAAGTAAATCCCATGAAACAAATATCTTTAATAGTCAGAGAAAAGTAATTTATAAATTCTGTCTGAACTTACCAAGGCCTTGATTGATCTGCAAAAGATCATAGCAGTAAGGTAAATAAATATTATTGAAATGAGCCATAGAGTGAGGATACTTTTTATCTTAATGTCGATTAAATGTTCCTGCTATTAATACTTGGCTTCACACTAGAGCTTGTAAGGACAATCTAAGTGCACTTGGAACCTACTTTGAGTGTGAAGGGGTAAAATGTACTTACTTGGACTTTACTTAGTGACCATGGAAACGTTCGTAGATCAAAGAAGCCGACGTGCGCCGCCAAGTATAGTCTACACCACACTTGAGAACGCACTTGACCAATAGGAAATAGAAGCCAACTAAAAGCTATGTGCAGCGTTGCTACAATTCTGATGAACGGACCGATAAACAGCTTAATTGTTTGAATTTCATTTTCATAGATAGCCTAGACGTAACCATCGCTTTTCACATCATCCGACACCAAATGCTCTTCTTGAAATTACAAACCAGCTGCTGTTTCAAGTTTCAACCGGGTCATTTCTTTGCACTCGGAAAACGCGGTTGAACATTGGACGAGTCACACGGAAATGCATTTTTTAGGTTAGCTAAAGCCATACAGCGATCTCTTTGCCGAAAACCGCGTTGAGCCATTCTGGAGAAATACAGAAGATGTCGTTTGTTCCTTTGCTCTTTAGAAACGAAGCAACCATATGCATTTCTTCACGATTTTACTGACGAACAATGTTATCACATTTGTGATATGTATGACCGATTTTACTGCGAAAATGCTTCAAGTAACACACCTTGTCATCAGGTGTGAAGCCAAGTTTTCTAAAGTGCGACTTGAGATTTTCAAGTTCACTTGAGTCAACTGCTTATTTGAAATTAACTTAGCTTCTAGTGTGAAGCCAAGTAGTAACAAGCTGACAGCCTTTCCTTCCTAATTTTTTACATTAACGTTTGCCCATGTGTCTTTTCATCGCATTTTTAACCAATATCTTTTGTTATGAAAATGGCTGTAAGCTGGCATTTTTAATTAGAGCATCCACTGGGGAGCCGTTTTCAATTTGAAACTTTAATCAGATTTTCTTGTTTTGAAAGAAAAGATATAAAAGTTTTGAGTAGGAAACTTTCCTTCCTTTCAGATACCATTTTCGTGATGAATTCCGTTTTAATTGTTGTAATTACAATGTTTGCAATTGATAACTTAACTTTAGAATTATTGAATGATATTTAGATTTAAATTTGCGTCTTAAAATTTACAATGATAAGTTTTGAAAAAATACCCGATAAAATAAACTTTCGTCTTCTGAAATTAGAGGAATAAAGCAACTGCACCAGAAACCCAAAGAGATTTTTTTAGAAACATTTAAAAAAAAAATGATTAAGTTTTGAGCTTCGTTTAATTACTGAGTCATTCTGGAGAAATACAGAAGATGTCGTCAAATCAAATATCAAATATCAAAATATCCAGCATCAAAAGAAGCCGCCCTTTTTGAAGCAAAACGTTGAAACCTACATGAATATATTTTTGAAGCAAAACATTGAAGTCTAGATGAATATTTATCAATCCTGGACGCCTGGCAAGTTACTAAAATCAAACCTTTTCTAAACGAAAGTGCCCCCTCGTCTTATAAGCTTTTGGGTTGTTTAGCTTGTTCTTCGCGAAGAAGACAGTAAGTTTCTTAGCTTGCTATAAAATTTGCTATTTTGTAATCAGCTCGCCTTGCACATATTTGTGAACATGACAGTAAGGAGTCGAGCTTTCTGCGCCATATGGGTTTTCCATCAAAGGGAAAGAAGTATTTTTTGGTTCTAAAGAAAACGCCATGCTCCTCTGCTTCTTTTTTGACCATTAAAGGCAGAATAAATGCAAGAGAACGAGAACAAAAATCTTAAACAGATTAAACCTATTTAGTAAACACCTAAAGGCTAAAATAAGAAATTATTTATGAAGACATAAATTTGATACATTAGCAATCAAGTTTCAAGGCGTTAGTTACCATTTTCTTGTGGAAAAACAGCCAAAAAGCTTAAAACATTATTATGTGATTCAATTTTGACGTACTGTTTTTCTTTTTAATAATACATCTTGCCATCGCTCAAGCAATAATGTGGACGTTTTGGAATTTTATTCTAATTCAGTTTTTATCCACTTTCTCAAGTTTTGGGAACATCACATAATTTTCTTCAGAAAACGCTACATGCTTGCACGAAAATTCATCTAGTTAAGAATAGCTACTAAAGATATACTCCATAGAGTATGTTCATCGTCACGCAATAAAGGAGTAAAATCAAAAACCATTCGGTGGATAAAGTCAAGAAATTGGGATACTATAGACGATAAATAAAGAAGACAGTTCTCCAAGTTTAAGGTGTGTGAGTTGTCCCAAAGTTGAGATATTCTTCGAAATGTTCCGCGCAAAATTATAGAGCCTAGTATGGAGCCGCCATGTTGGGGGACCTCCTTAGTCCTCCAGTATGGCGGCGGGAAAACAGTGTAAACATCTGGGACTTACGTTGGCTATCTAGTCGACTGATAACCTTAACCGAACCAAAAAAAACTTTACACAAGAACTTATCCTAATACTACAACTCCTAAAATGGCTAAAAATTACGAGATAAGTGTATACTTTTCAACAAACGCGATCTTAGCTTCATGTCACGCACCTCCATAAACTCCGAAATTCAAAATGCGCTGGTTTCGAAACGAAGGACGCTATTGAGCTGGAAAGTTGTAAACTGATACAAATTTAGTACCTCTTATGCCTGATGAGGATAAAACCTTTAGTGGCCCTTTAGTTTTGGATTTGAGCATTCGATGGCGTCACGTGAACACAGTCTATTGGAAGGATTGTACTGCAGTTGCGAAGAAAAAACTGTTAACTGCGAAACGACGTTTTTGAATGTGATCTTTAAAACGTTATAAAACCAAAATATCAAAATATTTCTTTTTATAGTACCTCACCAAGTGGACTTAATTTAGAGCTCTACCATGTTCTGTTAAAGTATCTACGAGGCAATTTGTTTTCTTTTTCAAGCAAGGTTATAAATTCTTTGCAACTAAAGCATGTTCATTAATTTGAAAGCTCTTTTGCCATTGTTTCTGAATGTAAACACAAAATACTTAACGTATGTTGTAATCTTTTAACATACCGATTACCAATCCACAGAGTAATCAGAATAACATTGTCTTGCCGATCTTTTATTTCGTTGATTTTGCGTGGAACGCTGTGTGATTTTTTTTTTCTGGATGGGGGAACGGCACGATTACACCTTCATAGGTTGTTAACTTATTTTGCCTGGCTTTACTTACTTCTTCTTTTTTTGAAGGCCACTAAAATACACTATTTTATTATCATCAGAACTTTACATGCTTACTCAGTAAAATTAGATCATCAGACTATTTCGCTCATCAAGAAATATTGAGATTCGTTTGTAGTTGCATGGAAATCAAACTAGACAGCTGGCCATTTTCCCATTTTAGGCACGCTCAAACTTTTGATTTAACGAAGATATAATTTTTCTCCTGACATTGAAAGTTTGGGCCTTGTCTTCATGCACTTAATACAGCAAACGAAAACATCCATTTGACAAGCACACGATACACAGTACACGATTTGTTTTTGTCAAGAGGTTGAGTCGGAACGTTCGCAAAAGAACTTTAGTTTAAAACGTCACATAAGACCCACTCAGATTTGTGAGGAAAGCGGATACCCCCGAATACATTGTTATAAAGTATGTTTGATAAAGCCTCAAATCATTGAACACTGTAAGAAAATGACATTGCTCTCATAAAGGAATTCAAATAGATTTAATCTTTTCTTTACAAGAAAGCCCCTGCTCTTGTTTTCAAACCTCAGTTCAGTTATAATGTCTTCAAACAACTTTGCTTACCAGTTAAACGAATAACGACACTCGTCAGCAGTAATTTTTTCCATGTAATTAAATTGTTAATGATAAGTAAGTAAAAACATAAAATTGCTAAATTAAATAGCTGCAGAATCGAAAGTAGGCTGATCTATGACCTTTAAGTTTTGATAAGTTCTCTCAATGCAGTCTAAAATATTTTACCGGATTATTTGCTTACTTTGCTTATTTACATAGATGCAAACTTGCGTCATTCTTATTGTTAATGCTTTTTAATTAACTGCGTTTCGAATGAAGATGTTTCCATGTGGGTTAACCACATGATTTTCTTGGTTGGGTTGATTTGTGCCGCAAGGATCATGGGTAGGCCAGTTTTGCACTGTGTAACCATCGAAGTAGTAATAGGTGCCACCAAAAAAAGTGCTGGTGTAGAACATCGGTCCATAACCCTGACTCGGCGAAAATTTGCCAGGTGCCAATTTATCTTTACACGTGGCTGTCACGTGTTTTACAATCTGACAACTGACGCTTCCTCCTTGCCAATCAACCAAACTTCCACTTCCGGGATGGCATATCAACCAGTTGTTTATGTTGCTCTTGATGAGGACCTGTCTGCCAAGTTGTTTCCACAGCGAGAAGTTTATGGCGTTGTAGTCTGTTTCGTTCAATGGAGGAGTTGTCGAGATGGCAACATCCACGTTCGGGTCTACTTGCCAATTGGGTCTTGGCGTGATTGCGTTCGAGTGACTCGCGAAATTGTTGTAATTTAGGAATGTATAGCTCCAAACTAGTGTCCATCCTCCTCCATCGGTTTTCATGTCACAGTAAGCCTTGAACGCGTTTTCCTGGGACTCACCGTCTGGATCAATCCAATAAACACCTGAGGGAGAAGAAGGAGATCGGCTACGGAGGGTCTGGCACGAGAGGACTGCTGAAGATTGAGTTGTACCTTAATAAAGCATATTTTGTTAATGATCATATTATACATCTGTTATAACTGATTTCTCATAGTATTCATTTACCGAACTTGTTGCTACTAACCAGGCGGCAGACTTAGAGGAGTGTACATCACATCATATCACATCGCATCATTTCACCCACATCGCATCATACCACACCACACCACACCACACCACATCACATTACATCACATTGCATCACATCATGTCACGTCACGTCACGTCACGTCACGTCATATCATATCACATCAGATCACCTCACATCACATCACATCGCATCACATCAGATCACATCACATCATATCACACAGCATCACACCACACCACATCACATCACGTCACGTCACTTCACGTTAAGTCACGTCACGTCATGTCATATCACATTAAATCACATCACATCACACCAGACCACACCACACTACATCACATCACATCCCATCAGATCACGTCACGCCACAACACATCACGTCACATCACTTCCCTCCACTTCAGTTTAAACCACATCAAATCACATCACATCACTTCAAATCACATCACTTCACATCACATCACATCACGTCACGTCACATCACGTCATGTCACAAAACAACACATCACATTATATCACATCACATCAGACATCAAGAGGCTCCAAAGATTATATCTTCTCATAACATCTCATTATTCACTGTGCTCCTTACCCAGAATTCCCGGAAAATCCACCTGTAAATTAAGTAAATATGTGTAAGAAAACGTGGCATAGAAAAAAATGAAAGTGGAAAGACATGGCTGGTAATGCGTTAACTAGCTGACTTGTCAGAGGAGAAATCAATTTTCACCCAAACTTCTTTTGAGTGGTTATTTGAACTGATATATAGTAAAAGTTCAGAGAGATTAATCGCAGTAAGCATATTCAAGCATGCACAGTAAATTTCCTTCGTTTCGGCTATATTCTTTTTGATGGGAAAGTATTAATCATTATGTTCAAGTTTTGTTTCCTTTTTCATAGCTCTACGTTTGTGAAACGATTTCTGAAACGATTTGAAGGTGACAACACCCGAAAAAAAAAAAAAAAGAGGTTAATTCGGTAACGGTGTGGAAAATTCAACGAGAGAAGATTTCAACACAACCTAAAGAGTAATAATAGTTTCGAATTTATCCATTTATTTAATGTGACATCGGAGAGAATCCCGCATTGAATTATTTTCTTTCTCTGGGTATCGAAAGTTTGTCTGCATAAATTAACATAATGCTTGTGTCTGGACGACAGACTGTCAACAAACCTTTTCCAAATAGAAAGAACCATCTCCCTTTAAAAGGTTTTTGGGTTGATTTGTTTGTTCCTCACTGTGAAGGGAGCAAGTTCTTTGACTTGCTATGAAATTTGCACTTTTACAAGCAGCTCGCCTGGCGCAGATTTGTGAACAGGACAGCAAAGAATCAGCCTTTTCATTCGAAATAGTGTTTCCACCAAATAAAAGAGCTTTTTCTTCGATTTTAAAGTAAACTCCTTTTTCTTCTGCCTTTATCTTCGCCGCTAAGAATAACATGAATACAAGTGTCCCAAAAAACATCTGCAAGAAAGAAAAAAAAGTGTTTAATATTTGGTCAATATATGGAATTTAAAAGAAGAGTTTAATGCCTTACGGGAAGTTAGTTGAGTTATGAAAGATTGAATTACTTACGATTTTCCCGACGAAAACAGGCGTAGGGTGAAACCTGGGAGCGACAACAGGTACAACGTTAACTAAAGGCGCCCGTGAGAAACGACAGCTTTCGAACTATGACAAATGCGTAATAGAAATTTATTAGCGTGCAAAACACTATTTCTTTAATTGAGGTTGACATGCTGTTTTTCTTTTTTTAACATTATTTTTGCTATTAACCAAATAAGTCGACATTTAATGATAAGAGTGCGTGCGTAAATCGAAATCATTATGCCCAAGAAATATACATTTTAATAAGAAATTTTGGACGCGTTTAATTTTCGAACAAACCTTTTCGGGCTCAGCTTTGCTTATTTTGGACAAAAAGCGGACAAAACTCTGCATACTATGATATATATTGGGATTTTTTTTAACAAGGTAAATACAGACTTTTGAAATGAGAGACTTCAACTTGTCAGAATCCTAAGTTTAATATTTGCTAATTTAATGTTGGATACATAGTCTAGATCTTCAGATTCAATTTCCGCGTTAATTGCTTCCTCCTTTCAATCTAAATCACATTTGTAATCCCCGCTCTGTCGAATGAGCCATTTAGCTTGATACGGCCTATCAAGGACAATTCTGGGCCAATGTAGACATCCGCAACCTTAGTAACCGATGAAGTGGGTGTAGTTATGTATATGATTGATGATAGCATGGAGGAAACCAGCAAACCAAAGATGTAGTGATAAGCGTTTTATACCTCAAACTATTACATTATGTAAGATGATAGAAGGGAAGAGGAGGATCTCGGAACGAGGTTGGCTCTTACAATTTTTTCTCTGGTTCGCAGCGAACAAATGTCACTGAATCTGATCTTCTTTAAGAAAAAAGAGTTTTATTAAATAGAATAGGGATGTTCACTATTTTCAAGAAAGTTTGTAATGATTCTTCAGCTCTTGCGCTGGTTGTAAAAAGATTCTGTTGCGCAGCATCGGTTGACAAATTTAAAAAGCATGTGTCAAAGATGAAGATCATCAGATTAAAATTTTCAAAAGTGCTCAGATCGATACGTAATCAAAAGGCAATGGTTTTGAGAGATTTAATGTTATTCTAAGGTTTGATAGGGATAAAATACAATTTTAATACCATTTTGTGACATGCATGCATGAGTTCAATAAAAATTCAAAATGTCGATATTGAAGCTTCAGAACAATACTTTAAGAAACGTTGCTCAAAGCAGGAAAAATATTGATCTAGTTAACAATCAGCCATTGTGTTGTTCATGCAATATGAAGCCCCATGTGCCGAGGTTTGTGAGTGGTTTCTATTTGGGTTTCTTGATAAGCCATTGAAATCGAACGGCTGGTTATATATCTGATTTTTAATTATTTACCACTTGAACTGAAACAGAACGAATTCTGAAATCTTCTTCATTGAAAATCCGTATGTCACCTCAGTTGAAAATAAAGCTCAGCAGGAGATACAAGACGGGGCTTTTTTAAAGCTTTTCAAAAGCAACGTACATGGATTCAAGACGGATATAAAGTGGCAGTTATTCGTTTATTTTAAACGTTGCATGTGAATAAATCTATATTTAGGTTTTCTCATTTGACTAGAGCGGTTTTCGATTAAGTGTGGAAAGTAATCAAGCAATTATAGTTGGTTTTGGTTTTGGTTTTCTTTCGAGTAAAGATTGCCCGAGTAGTCTAATTGGTAAGAAATTGGTTTGGTTTTGGTTTTACGACACTCAATTGAAAACCGCTTTGTCAACCTAATTAAAACTGAGGGATGGAAGCAACTACTTCGTATCTAAGAGGAACAAACAAGATCATATATATATATATATTTTTTTTATGAAAAGGTTGTCCTCTTGGTGTGGAATTAGTTTAAAATTGTTTTAGAAACTTGTTTAAGTTGTAATCCTTGAGTTTGCAAACGCTAGTTTATATATTATCACGTAGCATTCGGACTATCTGATTTCACGTTTATCACTTCTCTCAGCAGTAAGCAAGTATATGTAACTTTGATACATAGAAGTCTACGAAGTAGTTTGCAAAAGTCAAAATGGAAAAAGCTGACAAACGGGATGTTTTAATACATTCTGAGGCAATATTTACTTCTCACAATCAGCACGAGTATGCATATTCAGCCTGGACCAAATAGAGTATGGTTATTTATAAAGGATGGCTTTTATTGGTATAGAGCTATTTTCAATTGAATGTCGAAAGCAATGAGGGATTTACTTTGCTTTTGGTTTTGGTTTTACTATGGTTTGAGATCGGCATAGTAGTCTAATCTAATCCGCAAAATGGTCCTAGAACACTAAGATTATATTAGTGATACATTAATAAAGATGGTGAATTTTAAGCCCGGTAATGAAATGTGAAGGTGAATTAATCAACATGACACGAGCGTGGGACAAAGAAAAATTCTGAGTCCCCGACAGGAATCGAACCCATGATGTAAAATAAGGGACCCTGTTGTGGCCGTGCTAAGAGAAAGTACTCTCGCACAGCCGACACGGAGCAAAGGGTGGACGAAGTGCAAACGATGGTGAGAGATTGCCCTCGCCTGTATACATCTGTTTTTGACGACTTTAGCTGCACCGTCATGCGCTGCGGACATGTCAGGGTTGGATGAAAGGCTACACAATCGGTAGAGAGATCAAACAGCAGTCTAAATTAGCGGACAATGTTGTATATAGGTAAATTCACTGCAGCGCAGAAACGCGAAAAAACCTAAATTAAAGGCGGCTCAGATCATGGAGAAATCCCGGTAGCTAAGCCATGATTGCAAAACAGGACGGATTGCTGAAAGCACCTGAAGGGTGACCGGTTGACGGCGAATATGCTGTTCGCCTTGATAGCGGAGAATACCGCGTAAAACCTACGGGAGAAGAAGCTTGCCCTTCAGGTGGTCACTGTACCCGACGGTAATATGAAGGTTGCGAACAGCCGCTAAATAGGGCTCAATTGTGCCATGACGCACTGTTCTAGCGAGATAGGAGGCAAAATAAATAATTGTTCCTTCGGGGCGGGAAGTACATCCCTGTCTGGCCCTAGGAGGCGATTCATCAGACAGAATTGTAAAAAGCGTTTTTCCCCCCCAACTGTAGGCTCGATATGTGTTCTTGGATAGACCCCAAGAAGCATAGGTGAGCACTTCCCCTCTCAAAGGGTCATTAGTAAAGGCGAGACGGTACAAGGAATCGGGTCGGCGTCGGGTGCGAGGACCCAGAAGCGCTGCATCTGAAAGCGGGAGAGGGTATCAGCAATCTAATTTGAAACCCCAGGAACATGACGGCCCTTACGAGAAAATTATGTTCCATAGATACGAGAACAAGCTTTCTAACCAGTTCCATGACCAGGGGCCTTTTGATTGCCCCGAATTTATGATAGATACCACTGACTTATTATCACACCAAAACTGCAAACGTTTTCTAATAAAAAGTGAGTGCCACATAGCACAGGCAACAACGATGGGGAAGAGTTCTTGCCACCCAATGCTTATACCCTGCTCTCGGTTCAAAAGCAGATGGGGAGGCCAGTGCCCTTGGAACCACTTTCCCTGAAAATAACCACCAAACCCCACGGAGCTCGCTGCGTCAGTGTAGAGCTCTAGGTCTGGAGTAGGGGTAGTGCTAGACTCAAGTAAAAGGGAGCACCCGTTCCATTTGGAGAGGAAAACTTTCCACATATCGAGGTCCTTAAAGATCTCCTTGTTAAGCCTGATATGGTGAAAACGACTTGAGACACCTTTAGTCGAATTAATCGCGCGTTGAAGGAAGGTCCTGCCGAGGACTACCACTTTACATGCAAACTGGAGAGTTCCAATGAGTGATTGTAACTCAACCAAGCGCACGAAGCGGCGTTTCTTGAACGATGTCAGCAAGTCATAAGTCCTGGAAAGTTTGTCCTGGGGTAAGCGGGCCTCCATGCGAATGCTATCTAAAACGATCCTCATAAATTCTATTTCTTGGGAGGGGCCTATCGTCTTGGACGCTACTATCGCGGCCCTAGGTAACATGAATACCCGTAGAATAGTGCTGAAGCTAGTGAGACAAGCTAATCTAGAACGTTCAGCAATGAAGAGGTCGTCCAGGATGTGAATGACATGCTGGATACCGTAGTTATGTTTTAGGATCCATTCAGGCCCATCGGAGAGCTGTTTAAAAATGAACGGGGCACTGCGAAGCTAGCCCAAAGGGTAAGTACATGTCCACGTCATTGAGATTTCTAAAGAATACACAGTAAGTTCCAGTCGTCATGGTGGATTGGTATAAGTCGAAAGGCTGATTTAAGATCAGTCTTAGCCATAAAGGCTCCCTTCCCCAGGGACTGGAGGATATGAATTGCATCGTCCACCCTAACATAACTCAGTGAATAGGGATCCTTAGCAATGTGGTCATTTATACTATTTCCCTGTGGGTAGGACAGGTGATAGATAGTTCGCCAGTCAGATGAGTGTTTTTTAGGAATAACTCCCACTGGATGACATTGGAAATTTGCTAAGGGAGGGGTAGGAGGGGGGCCGGCTACCCGTGTTCAATTCACGTCCTTTTGCAGGTTGGAAGAAACTACATCAGGGTGCTGCGTCGCAGAGATAAGGCTGGGAGAAATCCAGGCTGAACGGGCTGAAATCTGCCTTCTTTAAGTGTACTTAGAAAAAAATTTTTTTTTTTACTTAGCAAATTAAAGACAAAATTAAGATCTGAATGATCAGTCAATTCTAAATTTGAGCGATAAATGTCAATAGGTGAGGACACTGAGGGCTGCTGATGACGTCTTTGCTGCTTCACTTTACTTCTTGCCTCGCTCACTAGGTCTGGGGACTCCCGTGTTCCGGGCTGGGCCACTAGATTGTTGCTAAGGGCAGTCTGGGAGGGCCTGGCGCCGGCACCCGGAGGACTTGTTGAAGTCAAAGCACATCGTCTGGGGACGACGCTGTTTTCTGTAGGGGTCAGCGGAAGGACAGACACCTTCAACGTGATAGGGACTCGAGCAGATAGCGCAGTGGGGCTTAGCTAGGCCTGAGAAGGTCCCCTCTCATAACTCGAGGTCAACTTTGTCCCCCTGAAGGGACAAATTGGAAGAGCCGCGGCGACGAAATTGCCGGTTATACGAAAGCCAAGCCAGACCTTTAAATTTAGTTACCGCCCGACTAATAATCTGATGGTACTTAATAAGCTCAAGCCGAGGGCCCACCTTGGATAGGCAGTTACAATTATCAATATGTACACCATGTAGGCCTCCAGCCACTTCTGAAATGAGTCTATAACGGGTTTTCTTTTCCTAACCACGGTGACCAAGGAACCCATGGGACTTGAAGACGAATCGTCTAAGCGGAGCTGGATTTCAGGGGTCTGGGACTGGTACAAGTTGTCAGGTAAGAGTAAGGCAATATCAACGTACTCACCCCGGAGTATTTTGTCCTCTATATGCCGGTCCACTGGCCTCGAAAGACCCAAAGGAGACGCCATACCCGAAGCAGCGAGAGTTTGGTTGGAGGGCGCGGTTTGTAAGAACGGTGCGCAGAGCGCTGTGCACAGACTGGGATACAATGTCCTTGATGGCAGAACGCTTCGCTGGACTAAGGGCGTCTCGAGCTCGTTGATTGCTAGACTGACTGGTTTGCAAGAGATCTTCCTCTACATCTGACTGCGGAATGTCCCCGATAGAAGACAGCGAGGCGCGGTCGGAGAGGACGCTGTCCTCCGGAATGCTGCGACGTCAGCTTTGCGTGGCGTCGATTCCACCAGCAGCAGTGGACGGCTGTTGCGTAGCTGTGTTGTTTGCCTGAGGACGAGTGCGTTGAGGCCGAGCAGATCTTCGTTTGGATTGACTGGCCTTTCCCGTTGATGTTCGCTTGAGCCGGGCTAGGAGTTGCCTTTTGGAGCCCGTTATGGGCAAATTTAGGGCTTGAAGACGAAGTTTTAGGACCTCGCTGGAGAGCTTCGATAGGTCCTCACTTCTGGTAGCGCTCTTAGCACTGTTCGACGAGCGGCGAGGGCGAGCCATGGAAGGTTTACGAAAATTTAACGATAGATTTACAAAAACTAATAGCCACTTTGCTTAAAAGAACTCAAAATGGACTCTGAACAGTTGTTCAAGCTTTTATAGGTAGACGTTTCTCTGCTGGTAAGCCGGTAGAAAAGGCTGTACTACCGAACAGCTTACCCTAGCACGTGTAACATCTTAAACATGAATAGTGTTTAATGCTTTGCACCAATGCTATGGTTCGTTATAACGCTCTGAAGGTAACAAAGCTACAATGTTTTCGGTTTAGCTACAATAAGGCTTACAGTATGCTGACCCTTGGAATACAACTGCTCAATAGCTGTACAGAAAGCGATGCCGCCATGAACGGCTCCTTGAGAACGCACGTCACACGCCATTAACTATATTTTCCTGGCGTTACAGTAAAATCTCAATTCTGATGTCAACTGATAAACAAATACATACGACTTTGTGTGCTCGTGGCGAAGATATTGTGAATAGAAACAAAAACTGAACTAAATACAGCAAGGAACCCAATTGATAGTTACCTGTTGGTCTCCAACTAGACGCCGAAGAAGCTTAATCCTCAGCAAACAAATTCACGCGAAAAGAAAGAATAAAAAAATAAGAAAACAAGAAAAGAATAAAAAAACAAGCAAAAGACAGAACCGAAAAGAATTTACTGGACATGCATGCTTGCTGGTCTAGCCCTCGCCAAGACTGTTTTCTAAGGGTACCTTCCTTTGGGATGATCTGGATCAGAATCAGTGATCCAAGATCTGTCTGGATCATGATGCACCAAAGGAACCGATGAGTTCGTGGCCAGGGTTGGATTCATCGGTTCCTTTGATGCACCATGATCCAGACAGATCTTGGATCACTGATCCTGATCCAGATCACCCCAAAGGAACGCACCCTTAAAGTCTAAATGAGCGGTCCACTTTATTTCCAAGACGCAAGGAAATGCAAACTCACACAACTTAAAGTAATCATCACAGTTTCGCAAGGATTCATTTCTTTACTTTTCAGTTGGAAGAACAATTATTTACATTTGCACTGTTAACTTCTAGAGATAATCGTGTTTCTTAGCAATGATTCAATTCAATTTAATTTATTTGCACTTTAATGAGGAAATGTATAGAGCTTTATTACATTAGAACGGTGAAACGCTTCAAAGCTTTAAATGCAAGCAGAGCCAATATCTTCCTCTTGAAATAGCGAAAACACAAAATATCATTTTAATAGTAAGGTTTACATATAAAAAGGTGGCTTTCATTATCATAAACAAAACCTAAACTGGAGGTCATGAAGAAAGGAAACGCTACAGAAATACCCATTAATTTCTAATTCCAATACGTTTTCACAATGTTGCCCTCTACTTTATGTACGCGCTGGTAACAACTTCCAACAACCTGTCAAGACAGTACTATTAATAGCGGTTAAGTTTCAGAATTGTAAAAAGAGTATTTTCTCCATTAAGCTGCTCATTTATTCCTCCCCGAAACTTTAAGGTGAGGTGTAAACTGTTTTTCCTCGTCAGTTTACATTGCCATGGCGATCGCATTTGCCATGTAGGTGAAACAATTTTTGTCTTTTTTGCCAGTTTTCTTGAACATGTACATGCGTCTGCTTGCCGTCATGTATGGGTTAGGTTGTGCCCCATAACTGGCTGGATTTTACTTGTTTTCTTCGTACAAACTTCTGGATGGTGCCATGCGCATGCAACCCACGGAGACCTGTGATAGTCTGGGACAGTCAGGCCCGAGTTTGCTGAGTTCGGTACCAAACCCCTATATTTACTCTGTTATTAATTAAGGGGGCTAAATGTAGATTTGTTGACGGTAGGGTGAGAGTTTTGAGAAGTTAAAATCCGGCCAACCTTCGATTTTTGACAAACTACGCCACAACAGAGGTTACCATGGAATTGTGTGGTAGGTTGTTTCCTTCAAGAGGCTGATTATTAGAAATGTATTTAGGAACTTTGCCTCCCGTTTCCGATGCATTTTAATGGCACACTACAAAACCAAGATGGCGGGTATTGTCTGTACATGTGCATGTATAGGGCTCATTGTTAACTAAGGAAAGCCTCCTTAAAGATAATATTGTTATATTAGATTTTCAGAAATCTTGTTCTCAATACTGTCAATCGGTTTTACTGAAATGTAATCAGTGACCTTGCCTAGTCTTATTCATTGATCTATTTATTATTCTTTGTTTGAAGATATCAGCACTACTATGCTACTTTGACATCCGAATGAAAGTAAAGGTACATGTGAATAAATATATCTTGTTAGATGTTTTGGTGTGTAGTATTGCTGTTTATTTTTTTCTCAAGCAACTGAGCGGGCCGGATTCCTAAATCCTCGAATTTGATTGGTTAATCATACGCAAGTGCCCGGTTCAGCTTTTTACGATACGGCCCACGGGCCGGAATTTTTCTTCGCAGCCTAAATTTCGCTCCTAAAAGTTGGCGGTAATCGTCAATCTTTTGCCTTTTTTATACGTCCATCGACGATTAGTCAACGCAAGTCTATCCCTGTTCATTTTAAAATGGCAAGGAAAGTCACTGTAAGTAAATTCAGTGGAATGTTTTGAAGTTGTGAGAGTTTGCTTGGTTGTTTGTAGCTTGACGCTGTAATGGCGCGTAATCCTGTGTTTCTCTCGCCATAAAATCTGAGTCAATTTCAGTCGAGTTTACCTCTCTGATCGTTGCTGTATTTAGGAGAATTTCTGTGGAATACACTTAACGAATTTCCTCGCTTTCTGCTTCTCAATTTAAGGTAANAAAAGTCTGATTTCAAGTGATTTTAAAAGCAACGACTGACAGAAATTGTTTTTGTAGTAAAACTTCAAACTTCGCACGAAAATTCACACCGCAAAAACAATTTTGGAGAACTTAACTGGTGAAATAAATGCAACTAACACAACGTAGTTAAAAAAAAATCTGTTCTTTAATACATGTTTCTTTGTCTACCATCTAAGTTACTCGCTCGTTGCCGAGATTTTTTTACAAATCGTTAGTAGACGGCGCGGAAGCCGCTTCAATGACATGAGTTGCGTAAACAAACCCATTTGTAATCTGTAAAACCAATTTACTGCAGGAGAAAAAAAATAAACATGTTATTTGCCGGCTTAGGGTCGGTCCGTATAGTGAAAACCTGTGACCTCGGCCTTCAAAATGCTGCCCGAGGCCGCAGGCCGAGGGCAGCATTTTCAAGACCTCGGTCACAGTTTTTCACCATACGGACTTCCCAGCCGGCAAATATCATATATATATTTTTACGAGTTGTGCTGTGTTTTGACAAGCGAGTAGGGCGAGTCAAAATACAAACAACGAATAAAAAATTTAAAGCGATACTGCGCACCAAAACGTCTAATAAGAGATTTATCATCCAACTCTGTAGTCAATAATTTATCAATGAAAGAGGCAGAGTGTGACAGTTTTGTGCGTGCGCGCCGAACTGTGCGGCTGATAGGTTTTCTGTTGTAAAAATAACTGTACAATATCGATATCGCTGTATAATTGTACTGTTATTTGGACGGTGTTCGCTGCAGTTGGATAATAAACGCTCTTATGCAGTTTGGTTAATATTACGATGTTACGCCTGAAAACTTTTTCAACCTTTGGTTAGAAAGTGGCATTTTATAAGGATTATCAATAATGATGAAACGTCTCTGATGGAAGTTCATCGGATGAAAATGTTAGCATGGGGATTAGCCACATTTTTCATATAAGACCATTTGCCAGACGTTACACCACAAGGATCACTGATGGGAAAGTATTTCCGCGTACAACCGTCGAAATAGTAGTATCCGTCAACCTAGAATGAGGCTGAGAGAAACACTGGCCCACAATTTGAACCATCACTAGGTGAAACTGAGGAAGGTGCTGGCGTCTCCAAACACTTGTCGCTCACGCGTTTGACAATCTGACAACTGACGCTCTCTTCCTGCCAATCAGCCAAACTTCCTGTTCCCGGATTACATATCAACCAGTTGTTTATGTTGCTCTTGATGAGGACCTGTCTGCCAAGTTGTTTCCACAGAGAGAACTCCATGGCGTTGTAGTCTGTTTCGCTCAGTGGTGGAGTTGTTGATATGGGAACATCCGCTT